AAACACTTTTAACTAAAAATTATACTGTATGTATATACTGTACAAATATTAATAGTCTTCTAATTCAACCATAGCCATAGTTTGATCACACATTTGTAGACAAACTTGGATATGTGTACAAAATGGATTAGAAATCGAAAATAATTGTGACCCTGGCTGAGAAAACCCAGCTAAAGTCTTTTTTTTTTTTTGTCCTTTACATAAAAACATCCTTCATAAGCTAAAGAACATTCTGTGAAAATGTAACCTTGATATCTTTAATACTGACTGAGTGAGGCCATGTCAAAGATTGAAATCATAGTGAAATTAATGTTGACACAGTATGTATGTATATATATATATATATATATACACAGTATATATTGGTGAACAGTTTTTAAACAAATATGTGCAAACCACATGATGTTAGCATATTTGCTAAACTAATAGTAAAATTCTAATACATATCACACAACACATTTCAATTAGATTCAACTGTTTTTATTGATATTGTTCAGTTGCATTTTTTTCTTATCCACCATGATAGATTTGGTTTTTTTCACTGAGCGCAGTGCATTATTGGACTGACTTCTCTACAAAGGACATATGCAGTGCTGCCTAGAATTTGGCCTAGAGAAGGTGTCTTAGAAGACATCATGAAGTTGCTTATGTTCTGAAACAAACTTTGCACAAATATGATGCCTTAAACTGCTGCCTCTCATCTCTGCTCACCCACTCACTTGAAAGTGTAATAAGCTCTCTGTGCACGTCATTTATTGTGCAGCTTAGACTCTGTTTTGGTTGCTTTCCCATTCATTCATAGTAATATGTGGGAGATAAGGGACGTGAATTTCACCTGCCTGAACTTGAATGTGTGCAGCACTGCCAGAAAGTTTTCTCTCCTAATCAAGCTCTTTGTTCGTGGCCAGACAGTCTCCAACACTGAGCGTGGCCAGTGGGACCGTTTTCTGTAAGGACTATTTACTGAAAGTTCAGGCCTTTAGAACAGCTTGGAGGCACACACATCAAACAAAGGTGCAACATGTGAACTCTGGCCCTGATATGAATTCAGTGAAACGGTCGAAGCAGACACACCTTCTTCAGCAGGTTACAGGAAGTGGTGTTCTCTGTGATCTGACTCATAGCTGTTTTTTTTAACCAAGTCAAAAACGTTCACAATCAGCATGTAAATCAAAAAGAGGTATAAATAGGGCTAGAAAGAGTCATTCTATTAAAATATTCCAGCTTCTAAACTTCTTAAGGAAAATGCCAAATGTCAGTATAGGCTACTGAAAGTTCAGGCCTGTAGAACAGCTTGGAGGCACACACATCAAACAAAGGTGCAACATGTGAACTCTGGCCCTGATATGAATTCAGTGAAACGGTTGAAGCAGACACACCTTCTTCAGCAGGTTACAGGAAGTGGTGTTCTCTGTGATCTGACTCATAGCTGTTTTTTTTTAACCAAGTCAAAAACGTTCACAATCAGCATGTAAATCAAAAAGAGGTATAAATAGGGCTAGAAAGAGTCATTCTATTAAAATATTCCAGCTTCTAAACTTCTTAAGGAAAATGCCAAATGTCAGTATAGGCTATATCTTCAAAAGATTCACTAGACCAAGAAATAAAAGGGAAATCTCAGTTTTATTTGCAGTTCAAACATACTGCAGAATGTTTCCAGCTGACAGAAAAGCAAAATGAAGACTAATGCTGTGGAAAAGATTAAATGAATCTATTCGGGTTGAGTCATATGCTCTCAAACAGAGCAGCTTCGATGAAATGAAGCACCAGTGAATGCAAACCCCTAACCAGCTTGCGGTTCATAAACTTGCCTCTGAGGTATGTGCCGCTCACCACTAGACCTGTAGATAATTGTAGTGGTAAAACCCATGTCATGTGACTGGTATCTGTTTAAGCATAAACGGGCTCAGGTGTAATGCACTGGAAGTATGATTCACTAAACAAACTGCATTAAACTTCTCTGCAGATGTTCTGTGTTATAAGTCACTTATAACTTGTCCCATGTTGTCTATTTATAAAGATAATCACACTTTTTTTTTGCACCAAAACATATTATAATTTGGTCTTCAATTACTATTTTAATGAGCACCCTCTCACTTCTGCTTAGAATTAAACAGACCATTTTGTTGCTTCCGCACCTTTAAGACTTAAGCAAAAGTAAACGCCCTTTTTGCATATAAAATGAGCAACAGCCCCCATAAAAGGTGGTGGACATGCAGCAACAAGGAAGAGTCTGACATTCTTTCTTGCTCATTCACCTTCTCTTGAATTTCTCATTTCCTGTCTTGTCCTTGCTGAAAGCAAATTTGGAGTCACATGACAGGATTTGAGGCGGAGACGCCAACTGATTGTTTGTGATGGTGGTTTGAGGGTATGATCATTGGGGTCCAAATGAAATTAGGCCCAAAGGGAGAGGGAGGGATGTCTTTCACTTCACCTTTTGTCTTTCGTTGTCCCTCGTTGTCTTCCCCCTCTCCCTCCCTCCCTTTGACTCTGACCTCAGTCTGTGTCCTCATCACAGTCTACCTCACCACAATGTGTGATGCATATGAACAAGTACAGGAGTGTTGTCAAATGAGCACAAAAGGAAACCTCAGAATGTGCGTTTGTTGTTCACTTGGTGCAGTGTATTTTAGTAATAATGTTCACTTGTAGCATTTGCATATATGAGAAGCATGCAATTATGATTTTAATTGAATAGTTCACCCAAAATGAACATTATTATTTAACCCCATGTCATTCCAAACCTTTATGACTTTTTTTTTTCTTAAAAGATCTTTTCAGGTCCATATAATGGAACCCAACGAACCCCATTGACTTTTATTAAATGGACAAAAACAGTTGAAACTTGTGCTGTTAGTTGATTAAAAAAAATCATTAATTAATCACACATTTTTTTCTGAAATCCCACCTAACTTTGAAGTTTTTAAATATACTTTTATATTGCAAAATTTTTACATTCAATCTCCAAATTAATGTAGAAACAACATAAAGAAACAACATAAAGACTAATTAATAATTATTTTAAAAAATATATTTAAAAAAAATATTTGTTTAGTGGCAAGGTGAGTATCACTGATACCAATACTACTGATGTCTCTATGAAATTGTTATTTTTTTCCTAATATTTAACCATTGACTATAGCCATTCAACATTACAGTATAATTGAGAGCTATCAATTTGAACATTTATTAGACTTTAAAAAATAACAACTTCTAATTTAAGTGAACTTAAAACAGTCTTTACATAAATCCATTATAATAAATGCCATATTTAGCTACCTGTGCCCTTCAGCAAGTAGGGAATATGGAAATTCAATAAAGTTGTCAAACACTAAATTCTAAATTAAATATACATGAATCCTTAAAGCTACAAAAGTCATTGATTTCCTTTTTTCTTTTGTTTTTTGATTAACAGACATCAAAGCAGCTGGGTTATCAGGTTATTTTGGCTGCTATGACTTTAAGAGCTGCTACTGATGATGCGGATCTGACATGCATGGTATTTTCTCACAACTCTTTACTGTTTTCTTTTACTATTTTCTTAAAGGGGTCATGAACTGCCTTTGTTTCATATAACTCCTCCCCGAACTTCCGGCTGCCCTGTATCTTGCTCTCTCATTGGCTGTAGGTCATCGCAGATGTATTTTTCAGTCAGAACTCATTTCACACAGCAGGATTTTGAATCACCGACAGGTCCAGATATTTAGCATATTTCACAGGCATCGGCGATTTTGCAAAACCTGTCAGGGCTAAAATCTTGCAGAGTGAACTCGGCATTACAAGCGGCTTACTTATAACTGTCTCTGCATAATGATCTGGCATACAAGAATAAAAAAATACCACTCACTGTGGCAAATATCATGTTACTTATAACCCAAGTTCTCTGTTGAAGGAATGGAATCTGTGATGATTAGACTGTCAGACATAATACATTCCTGTAAAAACTCACCAAACAGAATTTTAAAGAAGATGAAATGACCACATCGCCCACTAAAGCCCATTCATAAATAATCCCGTTAGACACGAGTCATGATCTGATGAGATCTCATCCCGCACCGAGTGGAATATTTATGAGGCCTCAGGCTGCAAGGTGGATAAAATAGCAACTATGGGTGTGTGTCTCCAAAAATCATGAAACATTAATGAATCGAGCTTGCAGGCAGCACCGCTTTAGTCATTATTATGTCTGTCGTGCTCTCGCAAATATTGAAATAAAATCCATTGATTTTGTGATTAGAGTTTAATGAAATGCCGCTTTAATTCTGCTCACTTTCCTCAAGGGCTCTAGAGGATTACATCTGTTCCATGGTGGCAGATGTGGGTATCGTAAGCCTGACTCTTATCTTTAAGGCTGCCTCGTTTTTGTGATCAAAATCAAATCTGTTACATAGGTGGAGCTTGAGTAAGCGATTTTCCCTGGAAGGGATAAAGAATGTGTGTATCATAATAGCTTGCCTTTGGAAAGAGAGGAAGAGAAGTAGACACATGAACATGTGAAGTTATCCATTCCATAGTGTATTACGCAAATCCATTCACCCTGTTGTCTGAAAATGAACATTTGAGTAAAATGTGATCACCGTCTCCTGTGGTTTTTAGATGCTTTATGTTAATCTCTTTTACCAGCAGGGTTCTGCAGATAGTTAAAATCATGTAGCTTTTTAAGCGAGGTTTTCTGTCCTGGAAGTAATGGGTTCTGACAAGTCCTTCCAGTCAAAATCAGTTCACGTAGCACGACAAGCCCAGACAGATAAGGGTTACACATGCTGGAGTTTATCTGCAGTGTCCACTAAATTCTGAGGATAATATGAGTCAAATATGAGTCAAATATGAGCAATACCTGGCACAAGGCTGGATGTGAATTTCTGCCTTATCCTTGAAAGATCTGTGTGTGTTTTTCTTTTGTATCAAACAGCCATTATTGTGGTACTGCGGCAACTGTGGCATAACACCCTGCTTCGAAACAGACTTGAGCTCAATCAGATTTACACATGTTTCAGACTTCTTGTAGGAGCACCGAAGGAGAAAGCAGAGTCGGGAGTGTCAGCCAATGAGACTGGAGATGTATATGCCTGTCCAATCACTGCAGACCGCAAAGACTGCAAAAGACTGAACCTTCTCAGCTCAAGTAATTTTCCTGGCATTCATACAAGCCATGAGTTTTTTTTGGCCTTCACTTTTTCCGATTTACAGTATTCATAAATACTATTGTTGTTGTTATGTTTAATTTTTTCATTGTCCTGCCAGTCATATGAAACATAAATGTATTTATTTATTTATTTTGTCGCCTTGGAATTATAAGGTTCTATCTGACATTTTTGTCAAAATTGAGTTATTCACATATTCTTATTCTGTGACTATTTATTTACATTATGACAGGTTTCTTTTGTAAGCTGTGTACATTTTGGACCTTTTTTTAGAAAACAAAAAGGTTTCTATCTACAGAAGTCTATGGAACGCAAAAACTTTGAAGTTCAATATCTCAAAACTGCTCAGAATGCAGATAGAACCTTATAATTCCAAGGCAACAATTTGCTTACTTACTTTCATAAAGGGGAAATTATATGACATTTATATAATTTATGAAATTTATGAAAAATGGAAAGTAAATAAAAAATGTATGAACTAAAAAAATGATTAAATCTGACATTTATAAAAGTGTATATATATATATATATATATATAAATGGTACATTTATTTATTTATCTGTTGATATTTGTACAAAAAGAAAACAGATAACAAAGAATTGAGCAAGCTAGTGTTAGAGGCCAAAAAATAATAATATGATAATATTTATCATTATACTAATAGTAGTATAAATAGTAATATACTGATGCCTCACTACCATTAATAATAATTATAAAAATACCATTCATACCAGACTTAAATTTGCTTTTTTATTTTTATTTTTATCTATTATTGTTGTTGTGTCCCACATGTCTGCATGGTACCACAGAAAGAACAGATCTGAATAATTGCTTTGTGTTATGCAGATTCTGAAGACATACCAAACCCTAAAAATGATGTGATGGATGGCATGTGGCTAGGTGTGTCGTTAGCCAGTCAGAGTCAACCAGGGGGCCGTGTACTGGTGAGTTTATAAAAATGACCTCTCTTATGTTGGTCTATAAAAAATCAATCCACAAAAAAATGTTGCTTTAACCATCCTAACATAGTATTCATCACTCTATTTACTAGGCCTGTGGCCATCGTTATATACGAAACTTTGCAAGCAACTTTCGGATGATTGGGAAGTGCTATGTTCGTGGAAATGATTTACAGTATAACACAGCAGACTCTCAATGGCAGTCATACAATGAGGTGTGTGACCCCAGAGATGAACAGACTAGTGAAGGCATGTGTCTTGCTGGAATGTCTGCTGCCTTCACTCAGACGGAGATCTTCCTGGGTGCACCTGGATGCTTCAACTGGCAAGGTGAGGGGAATTTGTTTTCCTGTAAACATTCTGCTTCTACATGCAAGAATGATGTTAAATTCTCCTCTAATAATTTTCCGTCACACGCAGGAAACACATTTTCACTGTGGTATAACCCTGAAGATAAGTTTGATGACATGAAGAGCAAGCTTCCAAACTTGAAAAGAGGGAATATTTACATTGGTAAGGCAGTGCTACAACCTTGCTTTCTGGATTTTCTGACATTTACTCAATTTTCGAAACAACAGCAACAACTAAAAATAATTTTAGTTGATTTATTTCTATTATTTATTTCGATGAATCACAACCAAAATAAAAGTTTGTGTTTACATAATATATGTCACCTTGGACCACAAAAGCAGTCTTAAGTCGCCGTGGTATATTTGTAGCAATAGCCAACATTACATTGTATGGGTCAAAATTACTGATTTTTCTTTTATGCCAAAAATCATTAAGATATTAAGTAAAGATCATGTTCCATGAAGATATTTAGTAAATTTCCTACTGTAAATATATCAAAACTTAATTTTTGATTAGTAATATGCATTGCTAAGAACTTCATTTGGACAACTTTAAAGGCTATTTTCTCAGTATTTCGATCTCGGCCAAATATTGTCCTATCCTAACAAACCATACATCAATAGAAAGCTTATTTATTCCACTTATTTATTAACTTATTTATTTATAACGATTATTCATATCACATATGTGTGTGTACTGTATATATTTAGAAGTATATATAAATACACACACATACTTGTATATATTTAAGAAATATATGTAATATATTTTTTTTTAGGTCTGTCAATCAGTTGAAATCTTTAATCTAATTAATTACACAATGTGGCGATTAATTAATCTAATTAATCTCATATTAATCGCACATCAAATTTGGCTGAGAAATTACCCGCAAAATATAATTTAAAGCCATTATTGTGTTACATGAGAAGAGCATGAAATAGAAATAATGAAAGATAGCTTTAGAAAGATTTTTTTATTTTTTTCATTTTCTTTTAAATTTTTGGGTGAACTTTCCCTTTAATTAGTTTTTTTATTATTAATATGGATTTTTTTATTAATATGTAAATATGAAATAATTTTTTTATGAAATGATCCTCCAAGTAAAGTAAACTAAAACTGCCAGTAGGTGGCGCTAAATGTCTTAATGAATAAGTAATTTGCTGTATCCAAATTCACATACTATCCATCCTAAATAGTATTCCAAAATAGAATTGCTATGTCCCAAATTGTAGTATGTTGAAAAGAGTATGTCAAAGTTTCCCGGATGGTCTACTACTTCCAGTTAGAATTTGAAGTGCAGATGGATGCGCGCTCTAACGGCTAATATTGCCCACAACACATTGCGTGAGGATTCGATTAGAACTACAAACACACATAAAAAGTGTTAAAAAGTATAAACATGGTGGATATGCGAGAGCGGCGGACAGGTAGAGAACTAACCTGATGAAAAAGTATTCCTTGTTATATTTAATCTGTAACAACTCTGTAAACTTTTAAAAAGATACATTTTGTCATTAACTTTTAAAGGGGTCATATGATGCGATTTCATTTTTTCCTTTCTCTTTAGAGTGTTACAAGCTCTTGGTGCATAAAGAAGATCTGTAAAGTTGCAAAGACTAAAGTCTCAAATCCAAAGAGATATTCTTTATAAAAGTCAAGAAGCTCACTGGGCCAAAGGACTCAGCTTTTGGCATGGCTGTTGTTGCTATTGGTGATGTTAACCAGGATGGCTTTCAAGGTAGGTTTGTGGGTTTCTTTGCTTGATTACACTCTGTACAATGTAACATGCATGTGGCTTTTAGTTATTTGTGGCTATTTGCAGAATTTACTTTTGTGTGCAGCGCTTCATCAGAGGAGCTCGTTATACAGTCAAGGACATTTTACTCTGCTGCCTTCTTGTGGCATTACTGAGAAGTATTTTGACAGTGATCGTTTCTCACTCCTCTGTTCTTTAACAGATTTTGCTGTTGGTGCTCCGTATCATAGTACAGGCAGAGTATCGATATGGATGGGCAGCAAAACGGGTATTTCCCAAACGCCTAGTCAGGTGAGATGGGAATATTAAGAAGTATTTAGAGTGTTAAGATGTACGATTACTAAAAATAATTAAGCTCTTACAATTCTTAAGAAGTTCTTAAAAATGTTCTTAAGAACATCTTTTTTTTTCTTAAGAAGAAAATTACAGTCTTTGTCAATGAATAAATCAATAAAAATGAATAATGAATGAATGAATGAATAAATGGGGTTCTTGCTGAAGTCTCACTGATAGACTCAAAGAAAAACACTTCTAGGGTTGTCTGCGCTGCCTGCAGATTACCGTAATAATCATAATAAGCGTCCGATAAACATTTAATAAGCATTTCATCACGACCAGCTTGACATTTGTAATGCGCCATGTTTTTGAGCAGTTACTTTTAAAGAGGTTGTCTCAAGAGGCATCCTTTCTGAATAAAAGTATTAAATCCTTTAAAAAAATTTTACTTACCCCAAACTTTTCAACAGTAGTGTAGGTCTGCTTTTACACTATTAGAGGTCAATACTGATTATTTGACTGTCATTTTGTATGATTGTTTTGTAGATAGTCAGTTCATTGCTCTAATATTAATTCCTCAGGTCATTGATGGAAAAGACATCCCAGGTGGTGGATTCCAGACGTTTGGCTATTCCATCAGTGGTGGCATGGATGTGGACAGGAACAGTTACCCAGACATAGCAGTTGGATCATTAGATGATCGCGTGGTCTTGCTAAGGTGATTTGATCGTGTCACAATATTTTACTATTTTACATATTTTAGTTATATAGCATCAAGGTAAAAGACAAAAACCCAAATTAATCAATCAGTGTAAATCATTGTACTTTGATTAGTCATTTTTTCAGATCTGCAAGGCTTTATCTCACTGTGTTTTCTTTCATTTCCCCCTTATAAGAGCACGTCCTGTGATTCACCTAAAGAATTCTTTCACTGTGACACCGGAGGTTATCAGCCTAGAAGACTGTGATGCCTGGTAATGAATCCTTAAACATCTCACTCCAACTTTCACACTTGTTTGTTTGCATGGAAATGAGCCACTTCAGTAGTCACTTTAGAAGACTACAGTGTCACAATATAATAACTGTCAATTATTTCCCAAAACATAAAATATGGATGGATCCGTAATGGATCAGACTCACTCAATAGGACCAGTTGACAACACTGACTGTTTATAGACTAATTAAAAAAACTGCACAAATCACTGCTGGTCAACAAAAAAAAAAAACTGGCTGTAAATAAAAACCTTTGGCCTAATTAGAGTAGATCTAAATGTTATGCTGAAATCTATATTTTTCATAATTTGATCGCAACAGCTGTACTCTTAATACTGATTATGTATTTTGAAATGTATTGTAATGCCTCTGTGACAAAATCAGTCAATTCTGCTGTGTTTTCCTCCTACAGTATTGAAGCAAAAGTCTGTTTGTCCTACACATTCAGCACTGGCAGTGCCAGTTCCCAGAAGAGTATTAGTAAGTCCCGCATCTCAGTTTATTACCCTAAATATAAATGCAAACTCTCTAGATATTATTGTCATGCAAAATGTATGATTCAGTGTGCTGTTCCACATTTTGACTGTCAGACTTCAGGTCCGACATGAAGTAGCTGTAAGAAAGATCTGTTGTTTTCTCAGGTTTTCAATATACGGTGGACGCCGATCAGCAATCGTCTCGGAGCCCTCGTGTTCGTTTCCTTGACAACAAAGATGGCAAATACACTGGCAAAATGTCTATTAATCCGTCTGGAGATTGTCGTTCTCTGAAACTCGAGCTAGTGGTATGACACAAGGCCATTCTTTGAATTGTCATTTTATTCTTTGTGACAAAAAGGCTCATAATCATTGAGTGGGTTATTTGGGTTGTGATCAGATTGGGCTAATTGTATAGAGATTTGTATAACTCTGATATCTCGCATCTGCATTTGACTCTCACAGTCCAAGACGATCCAAGACAAGGTTGCTCCGATAGTTTTCTTGCTGAGGGTGTCTTTGGTGGAGACTCCTTCCTCGGGCGGGCAGACATTGGAAGACCTCAGTGCCTTTCCTGTGATCAGCCAAAAAAACGCTCTGACTAACAAAGCTGAGGTACCTTTGACAGCATATTTTGCTCGCTCAAACACAATTGATGTTTTCATTGCACGATGTCTGCCCTTCACGACCTGCTCACATTCTCGCTTATATTCCACCAATGTCATCTCGTTCTTTAGATTCACATTCAGAAAGCCTGTGGATTAGATAACAAATGTGAGAGCAACCTTCAGATGACGGCTGCATTCACAGATGAGCAGAACACGCCGTTCCCCACGTAAGCTCACTGTCGTTCTTCATGTGAAAGGGAAAGTAGATGACTGAATAGTAAATAAATTTTTGACTGAATATCTCCCATCATGCTACAAAGGAAGAATCTACCCAATATGATTCTTAGGTCCTTTCAAGTATGACCCATTTTTGCTCATGAACACTCACCAATGATCCAATCACCCGGACTGGACTTGAATGGAAATTGTCATTACTTCATAGATGTGATGTGAACTGCCAATATGTGTGTTTCTACAGGCGGAATGGCCAGCAGATTTTCCACTACACTACTGGCGTAAAGAAGCTGAAGTTGATGGTGAATGTGTCCAATGTTCCATCACAGGACAAGAAAGCAGAAGATGCTTACAGTGCTTCTCTAAATGTCACCATTCCCACCTCGCTCAGCTTCTCCAGCCTAAACCCCAAGGCAAGATCAATAGATGTCCTCAGAAATTATACCTTAGTTCCTTCGACGGTTCTTAATACAGTCCATATCAATCTTTTTTTAGTTTGGAAGCAAGGTTGCATTAAATTGATCAAAAGTAACAGTTGTATGTTACAAAATATTTCTATTTCAAATAAATTCTGTTCTTTTGAACTTTTTATTCAATAAAGAATCCTGAAAAAAATGTATCACGGTTTCCACAAAAATATTAATCAGCACAACTGTTTTCAACATTGATGATAATAAAAATTGAGCAGTAAATCAGAATATTAGAATGATTTCTAAAAGATCATGTGCACACTGAAGACTGGAGTAATGATGCTGAAAAATCAGCTTAATCATCACAGGAATACATTACTTTACAATATATTAAAATAAATGAAAATAAAAAAACATTTATGTTAAATTTAAATTATTTCACATTATTACTGGTTTTACTGTATAAAAATAAATCTAGCTTTGGTGAGCATAAGAAACTTTCAGAAACTTAAAAAAATCTTAGCAACCCCCAAATTTTGAACATTAGTGTATGTACATTTAGACTGCAAACAGAATTTTACGTGATTCTTGTTTTTGTTTCTTGTAGAACTTGAATGTCGAGTTGTCTCCTGGGGTGCCTTATCTTCTGTGTACACTGGGGGACCCCTTCAAAAGCAATCAGAGGGTAAGTCTTCATTGGTATCAGTGACTTGACATTCATAGGTTTTAAGCACACTTACCCCGGGATTTAACAGCAGACATACTGCAACTACCATCTTAAATGGGTATTGGATGAGACTTTAGGGTTACTTATTGGATACAGGATGTAATAATAAGAGGTGAATTTAATTAACAGTGTTGCAATGAAGTGCATTTCTAGAAGCAGATGTAATGAATCTGAAGATGGATGTCTTTATTTTTTTGTGGGTACTTCTGTCTTTCACAGGTGGAGATTGAGATCACCTTTGAAACGACAGGAATCACAATAGACATGCAGGAGATTCAGACTGAACTGCAGCTCTCAACGTATGAGAAATCTCCATTATTTTCTTCAGATTCTTAAATAGGCTGAACGTTTGGGGAGAGATGCTTTGCAGGAAATGAGCTCGCAAAAAAATCAATATCTCTTCTAAAGACACAGAATCCTGAAGAGAAACTGTTGTGCGCATACGTTTACATAACCTGTGCAGAATCTCTAAGATGTTTAGCTTTTTTTTTTAAATTAGAGAGATCAAATCTAATTATATGTTACCTCATTCATTCATTCATTCCCTGAAGAAGCTGCATAAAATATATTTACATATTATACAGAATACAAAAAAATGACTTGAATTATGCTGTTCAAAGGTTTACATGTCCCTTTTTCTTAATATTATATGTAGCTTGTATTTGTATGAGTCTGTGTAGTTTCAGTCATTATATCAAATAGCTTCAAGGTACTAGTAAATAAAAATTATTTCTTCTTTTTCTGTTTTTTTTGTTTGTTTGTTTTTTAAATCATAAACATCTGGCAAATTCTGTAAGGAGAATGCAAAGTTGAGCAGAACTGTATATAGAAAGAATATCATTAACCCACCCACAGGAAGGAGTCCAGTGCATAAAAACAGGGTCAAAAGCATTCAGTGATTCACTGTTCAGTTCTGCAGATTTAACCATTAACATACGGCTTATATGCATATGAAAGAACAATTGTCTGTGAAAGAGGTTTGTTTAAAGAGTATGATTCAGATTTGGACTCTGGCTGATGATTTCATCTACACTTCTCAGGTGGAGTGATCAGAATGATCTACAGCCGCTGTTGAGAGTGCTGATGGTGGAATACGTCCTACAGCCCTTCTTTAATATGTGAGTCTTGTGCCATTTCTATCCTTAGAGCATTTCACCATATCTTTTCTTTGTCAGAATGACTCATGTTACACTTCAGTATTATACAGACATTTCACTTTTTTGCCTGACATTAAACTTTAATAAGAGCTACATAAAATCAAATCATTTTGCAAATATATTAATTTGAACATTTCTATTTTTCTTGTAGCCCTTTATCCCAGTTTAGGACAGAATTCAGTGGAAAAGTAATAGGAGAATCAGCCATGAAAAGTACCAGTGACATTGGAAGCCCAGTGGAATTCAACTTGACGGCAAGATGTTTTTTACAGCCTACATTCCTAACTAGCTGTGATGTGTCAAGTCTCGAGTGTTGGACAATTTGTTGTGCTGTGGAGAAACCAAATGACTGACAAAATCTGTTGTTGTTTGCCGCAGACACAACTGATTAGAACAAAATTTCAGACTTATTACATCAGGCCTAGTTGGGAAACAGTGTAAAGATGGTTGCACAACAGGTGTAAAAATAAGATGACATACGGTGTCCTAAAATCTGAAACATCGAATCTAATGCAAAACAAAAACTTCAAAAAAATCATCAAGATAACATGCAAACAAAGACTAAAAGATAGATTGTGTATAGGCAATTTTTCGGTAGCAAGTTCTTGTGTCGTTTGAACAGCTCGAAAAAAGGCTACACTTTATCTTCGAATTTGATTGGCTGAACTGTATTGGAGTAAACATATAGGTCCACCCCTGAACTTAAAGGGATAGATCACCCAAAAATTTTGTCATTAATCACTCACCCTCATGTCGTTGCCGTAAGACCTTCATTCATCTTCGGAACACAAGTTAAGTTTATACTAACTATATTAAGTATATATTTTTTTATGAAATCCGAGAGCTTTCTAACCCTCCATAGACAGCAAGGGAACTACCACGTTCAAGACCCAGAAAGGTGGTGAGGACATCGTTAAAATAGTCCATGTGACATCAGTGGTTTAACCTTAATTTTATGAAGCTACGAGAATACTTTTTGTGTGCAAAAAACAAAATAACGAAACGACTTCTCTTCCAGTTTCTTCTCTTCCGAGTCAGTCTTCGACACACGTTTACAAGAGTACCGGACATGTTTATGAAGACTGTTTTATGTACAGTGTGCGTCTTCCTCTGTTTGTGTCGTTGTACTGTCGTGAACGCATGTTGAAGACCTTTCTGGGCCTTGAATGTAGGGATGTGCCGATACGAGTATCGGTACCGAACGGTTCACGGGGCAAATTCCAAATGGAAGTGATCATCCCTATCCTCTTGGAGTGGGGACTTTGGAGTGAGCAGGGCACGTGTGTACCATTATGTAGTCGTTTGTAATGCACTTGGCAAAGCGAGCGATGTATAACCGTTCGGTACCAATACTCGTATCGGCACATCCCTACTTGAATGTATCAGTTTCATTGCTCTCTCTGGAGGGTCAGTAAACTCTCAGATTTCATCAAAAATATCTTAATTTATGTTCCAAAGATGAACGAAGGTCTTACGGGAACTACATGAGGGTGAGTAATTAATGACAGAATTTTCATTTTTGGGTGAACTATCACTTTAACCGTCACTGGGGCATAAGTAGACTGTACGAAAATGTAAAGATGAGATATATGAGCAAACTAGGCACCATTTTGCCAGAATGTAAAGTAGTTTGGCAATTTGGTCATTGTCAATTGTGATGTGCCCTATGTGTGACACCTGTGCTTGACCCAGCTGTGGTGTGATGTGACTCCTTTTTTAAAAAACCTAAAACAAGTTCTTTACTACGTAAGTCAGTAGACACAATCAGTTTACTTGACACAATCAGTTTGCAATTACTCAGTCATTGTTTTGTTTATTGTTTTGTCTGCAGGTGGCTCTTTCTGGAAAACCTCTGGGAAATCTGGGGTATCTGGAAGTGGTCTTTCAGTGGCCTTCTTCTGTGGCTAATCAGAAGTGGCTGCTTTATCTGTCAGAGATTCAGATGACAGGAACCTCCAAGCCATTCTGTGTCCCTGAAAATAACGTCATAAACCCCCTTAATCTCACTGTAAGTGATTAGATGTCTGAAAGTCACTGATGGTTTTTCTGCAGTACGGTGTTGATGACAGAGCAGTTTAGCACAATCCAGCCTTTGAATCCTTGAGAGAAGCAGCAGAAGAAATCATGCTGGGACTGGGACCTCCTCCTTTCCCAGAACTATATTACTCACAGCTCGCACTGCAATCTCACTCAATGTACAAAGCCGAGTGGGAATTATTTCAGAAAAAGTCTAGCTCCTAATATGAAGCAGAGGGTGGTTTGGAAACTATCTATCTCTCTGTGCCTATAAATCAGTGTGACATGTGCTTAGGAGGTCTAGATGCTCTACAAATAAATCCTAGAACTCAAAAAAGAACGAGGAACTAAGACAGAAACATCATACTAAGCAAGTCAATCAAAATATTCTCATTCAAGGTGATTTATGCTTATTAATATAACATAGAATTCCATAATGTGGTGGAACGTATTCCAATAGAGCGCTACAGCAAGGATGTATTTCTATAGGCTTCTATTTAGAAGTTAGTATCTCCCTGGTTCCCTCAACAAAAACCCAATTATTTCATTGGTTTTTGTATTAGAAAATAAGCTCTGTGACCAACAAAAGTTTATGATTCTTACACATTTTGTTCATGATGATAATCTTTGCAAATGAACACAACTTTTATGATTTATGAAGCCAAAATACAACTGCCAGAAGTCAAAAACTAAACATCAGCCAAGGTTATAGACGAACTACAAAACTTTTAGCTTCCAGAAGTCTTTATTTAAAAAAGAGAACATTTTCCCTGAAAATTTAAGTTAGAATAGCGTAATTATAAACACGACAAGGCTGTGAAAGCGGATTAGTGAGTAGATGAGTTTTCCTGTTCAGTGTGATGATGTTTAATATGCTCAACAACCTCTGTAATTCAATGTAGCCACTTGTTAGCAACTTGACAAGATGTATAAAAGCTTACAAAAATTACAAGGTTGTATTACTGATGTATTTTATGTTGTATAATAAAACAAAAATATCTTGTGCTTTTGTTAACCGCTGACCTTATTTCAGGCTTTTAATAAAAATCCCATTGACTTCGGAAACCAAGGACTTGTAGGTGCTAAAATGCTTACTCATTTTCAGGTTTTGGTCTGCAAAAACACGTCATCCCTGCAGCATTTTATTGCCATGCACTTAATATAATGTGCTTGTTAATGTGATAGATGTGTTACCTCCTGTGGATTAGGTGTCAGAGCGCAAGACAGGAAGGAGGAAAAGAGATGAGGCCTCCTCGGAGTCTGAACAGACTGAACCGCAGGCCTTCCCGAACCCACGGGCCGTCCAGAGGAAACTGTCTGCCAACCTGGTGAGTATATCTGTCTCCCTCAACCATTGTTTTGTTGCTAGGCAACTGGATGATACTGGCATGTCATGTCTCCTCTGATACTTTGCATGATGTAGTATGCAACAGAGACTAGACAAAGACAAAATTAAGAGTGTTTTGGCTGTCACTGCTCATTCTCTCCCAATGTCAGAGCTGTGGCACTGGTAGTGCCCTCTGTCAGACATTCACCTGCCCCTTGCTTGGCATGGACACCTCGGCCAATCTCACTGTCAGAGCACGAGTATGGAACAGCACAATGCTTGAGGTCAGAGCTCCATTCTCATTTGAAACTCCACATCAACATCTCATTACTGCAGGCTTGTTGCATGCCAGACTCTCAAGGATAAATCCCACACTTGCTTTGTGACATTTTTCGAGTTTATGAGGGTTTAAGTGGTTTAATTTTTGTTACACCAGGTGCAGTCCTTCACAATATGCTATATACTTTGGCTTAAAGTTGATACAGTGGCCCCAAAAACTATTTGGAGACTTAAGACACACTTAAAACTCGCATTAGAAACAAAGGGGCATCTGCAAACAAATGATGCTTTTGTAAGCCATTACTTTTAACTGGTCCCAGTGTGGTTTTTAATGGATGTCATGGCTACAGTACTTTTGAGAACGTAGCCCTGTAAGGGTTTTCAGTCTGTTCCTGGAGCCTCATTACCAGTACTCCACATTTTGGATGTGTCCCTTATTTAACCCAGCTGAATGACCTCATCAGCTGATTAGTGGAGTACTCCAGTCCAATATAATGATAAATGGATCATTTTACTGACTCTCTCGTTCAGCAAAATGAACTAATCTATATTCAGGTTGTTTTGTTCCTTTGAGTTAAAATTCCTCATACACATTCACATACACAGTCTTTCATCATATTGTGAATTAGGATATCATAATAATTAAATACAATTATGTGAAGCACAAATGATTAGCTCACCTCCCAAGTCTTTCGTTCATTTGCCACATGACAGATGTAGTGAAAGCATCGCTCATCAATGACCCACCATCACTAGTCCAACAAAGGAAGCATCCCAAATGTGCAGTGCTGTACATAATACTCTGAAGTTCAGAAAATAACATTGTTGCAGCTCTCTTTTTACAGGACTACAATGCTGCAAGAGTACTTGTGTTCGGTAGTGCCACACGTCTTACGGGAACTACATGAGGGGGAGTAATTAATGACAGAATTTTCATTTTTGGGTGAACTATCACTTTAACCGTCACTGGGGCATAAGTAGACTGTACGAAAATGTAAAGATGAGATATATGAGCAAACTAGGCACCATTTTGCCAGAATGTAAAGTAGTTTGGCAATTTGGTCATTGTCAATTGTGATGTGCCCTATGTGTGACACCTGTGCTTGACCCAGCTGTGGTGTGATGTGACTCCTTTTTTAAAAAACCTAAAACAAGTTCTTTACTACGTAAGTCAGTAGACACAATCAGTTTACTTGACACAATCAGTTTGCAATTACTCAGTCATTGTTTTGTTTATTGTTTTGTCTGCAGGTGGCTCTTTCTGGAAAACCTCTGGGAAATCTGGGGTATCTGGAAGTGGTCTTTCAGTGGCCTTCTTCTGTGGCTAATCAGAAGTGGCTGCTTTATCTGTCAGAGATTCAGATGACAGGAACCTCCAAGCCATTCTGTGTCCCTGAAAATAACGTCATAAACCCCCTTAATCTCACTGTAAGTGATTAGATGTCTGAAAGTCACTGATGGTTTTTCTGCAGTACGGTGTTGATGACAGAGCAGTTTAGCACAATCCAGCCTTTGAATCGTTGAGAGAAGCAGCAGAAGAAATCATGCTGGGACTGGGACCTCCTCCTTTCCCAGAACTATATTACTCACAGCTCGCACTGCAATCTCACTCAATGTACAAAGCCGAGTGGGAATTATTTCAGAAAAAGTCTAGCTCCTAATATGAAGCAGAGGGTGGTTTGGAAACTATCTATCTCTCTGTGCCTATAAATCAGTGTGACATGTGCTTAGGAGGTCTAGATGCTCTACAAATAAATCCTAGAACTCAAAAAAGAACGAGGAACTAAGACAGAAACATCATACTAAGCAAGTCAATCAAAATATTCCAATTCTAGGTGATTTATGCTTATTAATATGGCATAGAAACCCGTAATGTGGTGGAAAGTAATCCAGTAGAGTGCTGCAGGAATTACATATTTCTGTAGGCCAACTTGGAAGTTAGTATCTCCCTGGATCCCTCAACAACATTTTTTGGATTAGAAAATAAGCTCTGTGACCAACACACATTTATGATTCTTACACATTTTGTTCATGATGATAATCTTTGCAAATGAACACAACTTTTATGATTTATGAAGCCAAAATACAACTGCCAGAAGTCAAAAACTAAACATAGGCTATAGACGAACTACTATAAAAGAAACATTTTCCAGTTTAATGTGCCCTACAACCTCTGTAATTCAGTTCAGCCATTTGTCAGCAACCGAATTTGTCAAGATGCAAAAAAAACTTTAAAAAATCACAAGGGGGTATTACTGATGTATTTTATGTTGTAGAATAAAACATAATATCTTGAGATTGTGTTAAACACTGACCTTATTTCAGGCTTTTAACAAAAATCCCATTTGAAAAACCCATTGACTTCGGAAACCTACGTGCTAATATGCTAACTCGCTGTTTTTGAAAAAACATCATCCCTGCAGCATTTTATTGCCATGCACTTAATATAATGAGCTTGTTAATGTGATGGACGTGTTACCTCCTGTGGATTAGGTGTCAGAGCGCAAGACTAGAAGGAGGAAAAGAGACGAGGCCTCCTTAGGGTCTGAACAGACTGAACCGCAGACCCTCCCGAACCCACGGGCCGTCCAGAGGAAACCTCCTGCCAACCTGGTGAGTATATCCGTCTCCCTCAACCATTGTTTTGTTGCTAGGCAACTGGATGATACTGGCATGACATGTCTCCTCTGATACTTTGCATGATGTAGTATGCAACAGAGACTAGACAAAGACAAAATGAAGAGTGTTTTGGCTGTCACTGCTCATTCTCTCTCAATCTCAGGACTGTGACACAGGTAGTGCCCTCTGTCAGACATTCACCTGCCCCTTGCTTGGCATGGACATCTCAGCCAATCTCACTGTCAGAGCACGCATATGGAACAGCACGATGCTTGAGGTCAGAGCTCCGCTTTCATTTGAAACTTCACATCCTCATCTCATTACTGCAGGCTTGTTGCATGCAAGGCTCTCAAGGATAAATCCCACACTCGCTTTGTGACATTTTTCAGAGTTTATGAGGGTTTAAGTGGTTTCATTTTTGTTACACCAGGTGCAGTACTTCAAAATATGCAATATACTTTGGCTTAAAGTTGATACAGTGGCCCCAAAAAGTATTTGGACACTTAAAACTTGCATTAGAAGCAAGGGCATCTGCAAACAAATGATGCTAGACTTTTCTCAGAACCACCTTAACTTTAGTAAGCCATTACTTTTATTTAACTGGTCCCAATGTGATTTTAGTGGATGTATGAAGTAATATCGCCTCAAGTATTTCTTCACATTAACTACGGAAACGTTCCACTAACTTTGAACACAGTATACAGTATATATTGTTTTATCATCTAAAGCCTAACTTTATTTTTTATTGTTTTGTATAATGTATAATATATATATAATTTGTATTTTGTATTTATGACATTTAGACATTTCTAACTGGGGGTTCTTCCAAATATTTCTTGGCTGTGGAAATTTAAAATGTAATTGTGATCTAATTTGTGAAATATATTAAGAATGTTCAAATGCCTTATTTACATAGCAGCACTTTAATATCTGTCAGCATTTACTGAATAGGGCTGTGTTTCATTAAAGGAAACCAATTGCAAGCCATACTGCAGAAACTATAGGGGCTTTCACATCGGAGGAACCTTTTCATAGTTCCTAGAACTGTTGGTGGAAGTTCCCGCTTTTTGGTGTGTTCGCACCACAGGAACTAGGAACGGTTTTAGTTCTAGGAACTCAGTTTGGGGGAACTAAATTGGCTCCTTCTTCAGAGTAGAGTCTAAAACAAGTTCTGTAGAAACTACCAGTGATGTAAGTTTACAGTGACTGGCCAAACACATACGAAACACCGGCTACCCAGCATTTTTAAAAAGCATTGTAAAAATATTTACTCCACGAACATGAAAAACAGTGATAACGACATTTATCTGTTGTCTGCAGCGTTATGTTCTTTTCTCAGCCTCGATGATATGTAACACTGCAAGTTGTCACAGGAGATTTAGTCAGATTTTCACTCTTTCACTCGCATTAAGTGTGTGTTTACATTCCATCTCCATTATCGCGAAACCCACGACACGCAACAAAAACAGCTCCGATCACGACGTCCTCCATTCACCGGTTGTTGACATTTGTAAATGCCACGAATAAAGACGTCGCTGTCAGCTGCTTTGAAGTTCCTGCTGCTGGTGCGAATGCAACCAGGAAAACGGTCCATGGTTCCCTAGGAATGACCCTGCTGGCTAGTTCCTAGAACTATGTGGTGCGAAAGCCCCTTATTAGTACCCCTGGTCTCTATGAGCTATTTAGGTACAGTATTTTTGAGAAACGTAGCCCTGAAGGAGTTTTCAATCTGTTCCTGTAGCCTCACCAGCACTGCACATTTCAGACGTCTCCCTTATTTAACCCAGCAGAATTAATTCATCAGCTGATTAGTAGAGTACTCGGTGTCCTGAGCTGAGTGTGTCCAATATAACGGTGGGAAAAATAGATCATTTTACTGACTGAACTCTTGTTCAGCAAATCTGTATTTAGGTGCTTTTTAAATTCCCCATACACATTCACATACACAGTCTTTTATCATATTGTGAACTAGGAAATCGTTATAATGAAATATAATTATGAGAAGCACAAATGATTAGTTCATGAACGACCCATCACTAGTCCAAATAAAAGAAACATCCCAAATGTGCAGTGCTGTACATGATACTCATTCTGAAGTTCAGAAAATAACATTTTTGCAGCTCTCTTTTTACAGGACTACAATGCTGCAAGAGTACTTGTGTATGGTAGAGCCACACTGAGTCTAAAAACAGACAAACCAAGCATCAAGATGAGCAATTACACCCGTGAGGTACAAACCCAACATCTCCGAGTTTCCTCTTCTATCTGGAGCTCTCTCTTGCATACATTTAGCATAAGTGAGGGAAAATCAAATAATTATTAAAATGAGGCAATTTCCTGTATACGTTTTCTGGTGCATTAGAGATTAATGACAGTAAACATCTTTTCTGTGTTTAGTTTACAGTAGCTATAGACCCTGCAGAGGCAGAGGAGCTTCAGTATGAAGTGCCTCTGTGGATAATCATTGTGTCCGCGTTGGCAGGAGTTATTCTGCTGAGTCTGATTGTCATTTTACTGTGGAAGGTGAGGATCCTTTTGTACTTCAATGCTCCACACTTTCCTTTTGTTCACACATCTGCGTGTTATTCTAGATGGAAGGACACAAACAACGACTTTATTTTATCACATTATGCTTTGACACCATAAACAAAGTGTGAAGTTTCTTTTTTTTTTTTACCTCCACCTTGAGAGAAACAACAACACATACTGCTACACATTTTAATCATCTTCTTCTGTGAGGCAACATTTCATACGTTCATAATGGCACTTTGGTGCCTGTAAACTTACCGATCATAACCATATATTCTGTTAACTGATAAAATGTCGATACCAACCAACATTATTAAAATAGTAGGCCACATAATGAATTATAATTAATTATTTAAGCTTTTACAATAGCAGTTGAACATATAAAGACAGTGAGCCGTGTTACACACACAAACCACCATCCAGGTAACACACAACAAAATAAAATACAATAAAATTATGCTGTAAGCATGAATTAAATAACAAAAAAATCTATTATAATATAATCAAATGTGGCGCATCATGCAGGGACTTCATAAAAAAAAAAAAAAACGAAATAAAAATCACCAAAAAAAATAATAATAATTAACAATAATTATTTTTGTTAATAAAATGTAAATATAAAAGGCCATTTTATTGTGAAAGTATGTGTATTTTTTTTGTTGAATATAGTTTTTAAGCATAAATGATATGTAATTCATACTTTTCACTTCCCAAATCACATTTTTACAGTATTTTGCAGTCAAATTACGTGTATTTTCTATGTTGAATGTTTTATGGTGTCGATAGATGCTGCACATGGATATATTTTAAATATATCACACATATATCAAAACATTTGTACCAGAAAAGCAGCCGATTCGAGACTAGATCAATTCCTCCAGCCATGCCTTGTGTTTTGTTTGATCGCTCATATCTGAATCCTGTTCCCAGTGCGGTTTCTTCAAGAGGGCCAACACCAGAGAGCTTTATGAGGCCAAGGCCCTGAAAGCAGAAATGAAAACACAGCCATCTGAAAATGACCGCCTTACAGAGGAGGACTGAGATTCGCTGGCCATTGTGGGCCTCTGACACAAATAGTGAATTCGTAGGTGCCACAGCCAACAGCTCTCTAGCTAAAACACTCGGCTTAATTAACAATAATGTATTCCATGCAAGCTCTGCTAATACTGTCTTTCCTCTTCCCTTTTGAGACACAACGCTTGCCTCGTCTGTTTTCGACTCTCATCATTGCTCTCAAAAACACTAGAGGTTGTTTTTTTTCCTGAAACAAATTGATACGTGAGGCTCTTTGTTATGTCCTCAGGCTTGTGATGCTGTTATCTTGGAGATAGAATGATGTTTTAAACCATCAACTGTATATTGCTTTAATCCAACTCCTGAATGCCTTTTCTTGCTTTGACAAGACTAATAACTTCCTTCTGCGTTACCGTGTTCTTTTCTTTTTTTTTGCAGTTTGGGGCTTGCTTTCAACTGAGGCAGCAAACTCCTTCTGATCACATCTTCTCTTACATAGATAACAAGCTTTCTTTTCCCCCTCACAATCTGCAGCTGAATTTATAATACATTTTTACACGCTTGCTCTAACTCTTAATAATTTGCTCTCTTCATAATTTCACTTGAGTTTAAAGAATGCTTTCTGTCAGTTGCTATTTAGTGTTAATCTTGTAATCTCGTAAAACGACTTCACTTGAAGCTCTCGGATTTCTCAGAGCTTCTTTGAACACATGCTACTTACCTTGTCACTATAATAATCCTGGTAAAATAATGTGGTAGGATGCTTGCTCACAATGCTCTTTGTTCTGTTTTCTCACAGAGTGGCTTTTTTAAGCGGGCTGCCTACTTTCGAACTATGCCAAAATACCAAGGCGTGAAGATTTGTAAGAAGGAACAGTACCAGGTAAACCAGGGCTTTTTAATTGTGGACACCACAAAAAATAAGAAACACTGGATCACAAGCTGGACTGAAAAGACACAGTACTACTGATGAAAGCACTCTTACATTGTCTCTTTTAGACAGTGGAATGGACTTTACCTGAACTCTACCTGATTTGATTGGAACAACTTCTGGATATCAGATATAATTGAAAATGTTTGTTCAAAACGGTCAAACATGAACTGATTATACAGAAGACTCTGTGTGAGATTACATACTGTATTGATGTTTATTTTGGTTACAGTTTTTCAACAGAATACATGTATTATGTATGCTGACGGGCTCAACAATAAGGATTTTTCCTGCTGGCTCAGTAGTTCAGATTTGTGCTTGGCCTGCCAACATTTTCACTGTCACCCACCACAAAGGAATGATCCATTTTTATATTTATGCTCTTAAAAATGAAGGTTCTTCATTGGCATCTATGGTTCCATGAAGAACCTTTTAACATCCATGGAATCTTTCCAATGCACAAAGGATTCTTTATAGTGGAAGAATGTTATTTAGATTTTTAAAAGTTCTTCACACTGAGAAAAAAAAAAAAGTTATTTTAAGAACTTTCTTCTGAAAGTTTCTCTGGGGAACCCAAATGGTTCTTATATGGAATCGCAGCAAAAACCGCTAAAGTAACCTTTATTTTTAAGAGAATAGCAATGTGTTTTTACTGTATATTTGCTATAAATAATTTTTCATTATATGTTTCGTTTTATTTTTTTTATTGAGTAAAATTCTTTTATTATGATTGCAAGAAAACAACATGCAACTAGCTGGAAATTATACAGCTAAAATGTACTGTAATTCATTTCTGCTAAAAAAAATGGCTTACACTGACAAAACAAACTAACATGGTTTTGATAAAATTTTCACTCAGAAATTGCTAGGAAATTTTACAAGTACAAAGAAATTGCAAGTAACAAATTGAATTAAACATGACATTTTAAAGTAGAAAGACTAAAATAGTATTTTTAAGGTGTACTCCAGTAATCTTTATTTCGAAATAAAGATTATACTTCGAATTTTTTTTTTTTTTACAGTGTACAGAATAGATGTGCAAAACATATTGGCATGAAGTTTTCAACACATTTTGATTCTGTCAAGTCATTTTGTTTTCAAATTGAACAAAACCTTATATTTGTTAACCAACAAGATGAATACAGTCAAACACGTATGAAAAGCATAAAAATGGATGTACAAAATCAATGATTTGTGAATTTGAAATCAGTGTAAAATTGTCATCCACTTTTCTAGTGGGTCATCCTTGTTGTTGAGCTCTGTGTTATGTTTGGTTTTCATTCTTTCGCATTTGTCTGTGTGAGGACTTGTATGTGATGTGCCCTGTAACTGAAAATAGCACTGTATTTTCTCTTCGACTTTCCAATAGTGATAAAATCCGTTGCCCAGTCATGACTCACTATCCCTCTCATTCTGTTCTTGCTTTATATATTTTTATCTTGCATCAGGTCAGGTTCATGTGGAACACTGATGGATTTCAAAGAAAAAAGACTCAACATATGAATGTGAATCGTTCAGTGCAGGACAGCAAACAGACATACACACAAATACTCCTGGCCTATGCAATTGGGACAGTAGCCTACCTAATTTCAAATTTAGCCTTTTTTAGCTCCACTCTGAGGTGCTGTGGTGTGTGACATGAACATGTGTGTTTCATGCCCTGATTGTTGTTCATTTTACATTCAAGTTTTAGATCTTGTGGGGAATTATGTCAGTTGTAAATGTGACTTAAAGGGGTCATATGATGCTGCTAAAAAGAACATTATTTTGTGTATTTGGTGTATACCGGTCATGATTTTGTGGATGTTTCTACTCCAGTGATTTATATTAGTATGTAAAATGTTTTATAAATTAAGTGGATGTTGTTTACATGTCTAACTTAAACGTTCATTTGGTGAAAATAAGTCCTGTGCTCACGTGTCAACAGACCTGTAAATCTACGCAGCTAAAGGCTGTGTGCATTAATTAGCTTTCAACGCTGCGTTAGTAAATAAATAAATAAAGTGATGGCTTAATAAAAGACAATGATTGCGTGTTTTGTCCTAAATGCGCGCTCGTGTTACTAATTTTGTAAGTAATGAACAGGAATGTGATGATTTCTAATCCTGTTAAACCTCACACCAGCAGGAAAGTAATTGCATTAGAGTTTGAATAGATGTCAAAACTACCCGCATTCTCAAGCGAGCGTCACGGGAGCGCGAGCCCCGCCTGCAGGGGGATCAGCACGCGCTAAACCTCAGATCCGCGCGCTCTGTCAGGTAACGCCGCAAACGCCGTCCACGACTAACCTAAGAGCACAAACAAGGATAAATAAAGCCGTTGCTTTGGTCTAATTTGGTTTTCGCGATACCAGCCGACAGGTCGGCGTCTGAACTCGCAAGTTTCTACGCTGTGAACTGTCTAGTGGTTTTTGGGTTGGTACGTTTCAGAGTGAATCTGCGCGGTGGGTCGCGTCTTTTGGAGAGGACGATGTTCTTCATATTTGAGAGTGACGGGAGCGCGCGAGTCGGCGTCGCTCGCGGGGAATGACGCTTCAGACTTTATCAAGTTAATTACCTGATGGACTAAATGAAGAATGCCGCACGTTTGGGAGTTAATTCTGATTCTCAACATTAATGTCATCTTTGTAGAAGGTAAACTGTGTTCACATATGAAAACTCTCTCAGGACGCGTAAGATGTTTAACTGCTGACAGCTCTGTGGTTAATATAGCGGCATTTTCATTATGCTGGCATAACGCAGAAACATCCAAAGCTAAACAGCTATTAAATTGAATGTGTCATTTGAAAGTGATAGCCTAATTCATCTTGTGCTCATAAAACAATGCTGGATATTTACTGTCTGAAGTGATTGTTTACTGACTGACTAGTTGTATCTGATTTATGCAGGCTTTTGCTGTTAACATGGTCTCCCAGCCTAACCAAGATGGTCTTCTGTTGGTCTAGCTGGTCTGGCCAATCTGAAAAGTACTCAAAACCAGCCCATTTGACCAGGCTGTGAGACTAGATAGGACCAACCAGCTAGTTTAGACTGGGTTTAGCTCATGTTTTTTCCCCCTGCAGCAGAGTGGTCATCTCAAAAATGAAAAGATTTTAAATGTAACAGCAGGGATTTGGATAGGAAAAAAATGATTCCCATAAATTTCATTTCCTGCATAGCTGTTGTTTTCTTGTATTCCTTGCTAAAAAAAAAAACACCAGTTTTGAGAAAAGAATAACCAGGGATTAGAAGAATATTGTCTTAAACCAGATTAAGATAGTTTGCAGGTCTTTAGCGTTGTTTGAGATGGCTTTCCAGCCTGGCCAAGATGGTCTTCAGGTGGTCCACAGGATCTACTAGCCTATTCAGTTAAAAAGTGTCCAAACCCTTTTAAAATCAGCCAACAGGTCTGAAACAGGGAGACCAGCAAACCATCTTAGGTTGGTTTCAACTAGTTCTCAATTCTTTTCATCTTTGGTGTTTCTCTTCTCAGATAATCATTCTCCAATGAGTGCAAACATCTTAAAGTGATATTAAACATCACAAGAAAATGCATTTCATTGCTAAGAATAATAAAAGAAAAAAGGCAAAGGAAAACATACTAGATGAGAGTATTAAAAAAAATCAATGTAAAGAGGTTGTCAGTGAGTCATACGCCTCAGAGTAAAGCTCATCTAGAGTCTGTGAGGTTCTTCTATTCTTATGCACTATTGAAGTACCCAGTTTGTTTTGGCAGTCCAGAGTTTGACGTCATCCTTTCTCCGGTGGATGGGCATCTATAAAACCCAAACACAAGTTAGATCTTCAAAGAGCTGGATATGTGCATGAATGGTTTCTACAGAAAAGCTGGTAATATGTTTGAAAGGAAGTTGACGTGTGATCTGAGGTCAGGCTAGTACAAAGGGGACGACGGCTGTGAGGAGGAGAGAGAGAAAAGAAAGAAGCTACCTGGTTAAAAGCGTGAGGTTTATTTTCCTCATTCCAGCCAATAATATCAAAGTGATTCATGCGTGACAAAAACGTGTGGTGTAAAATAATATACAAGCCCTTTTATGTTCAGCTCAATATCGCACAGGGAGCCACACACAACAGAGAGGATATATTGGTAGCGGCGCTCCATTCAAGTGTCAGCATTTCGCGAATCTCCCGGCATATGAATCTCAGCACCTGCATTTCCAGCAAATCCACGGCTCTCGATGCTTCTAGATACTGCAGACTGTAGCCTCAGAAATAACAGCTTCCTACGATTCACATAAGTGAAAGTGCACAAGCTTCTCAGATACAGATGTCGATAAATTGGGGTGGAAGCAAATTGGGCTCCAATCCTCCACCCCATTCATGACGGGCGCATCAAAGCGACCTGGCTTGAGAGTAGAGCCGTGGTGTGGGGTATTTAAAGAGCAGCCCTGAGTGCTTGATTTGGCAGTGGATATGATGCAAGCCGCAGCCTGAAGCCAGAGGGAGAGAGGTGAGGGGAATCGTGATGTGAGATAACAGAGTGAATTCAGAATGCTGGAGTCTGCTGCCTCTGTGACCTACTTTCCTGCCGACAAGGCCCAGAGCAGAGCATCCAGGATGCATCTGTCGTCATCACACAAATGTGCTTTTTTTGCTTGCAATTAAGCGGTGCTAGGCAAATATTGACTTTATAAATTTGCATGCTGTTTTTTTGTCGAGTTTTGCCTCAGAAAGACTTTTTAAATGTGCCTTGAAGCAGACAACTTCATCTCATTTGACAGCAGAAACTTCTCTCCGCGGGGAGCTCGGGTCTATTACAGGTGTGACTGTATTTTCAAAGAGCAGTGGGTGAGTGATGTGTGAATCTCTTCTTTTCCCGCAGCACAGCCAGTGTCATCAAAGCTGCACGATGGTTGGTGGGCATACAAAGATGTTGTCCAGGGGAGCTTTATACCAGGTAAGCCTTTCAAAAAAGAAAACGGTGTGAGAGTATGCAGAATGTGTCTTGTC